TTACCGTGCACGAGGACTCTCAAATTATATTTATGCCTACACTCATACGATTTGTAATAACAAAAATGATTTATTGGCAAGCAAGCCCTTTATATCAGAAAGTTACACGGATATAAGTATAAATACGTGTTGTATACCTTTTATTTTAAATTTAACTTTGTTTCTAAATCATTTGTATTCATATTTTATTCACGCCTACGTTTTTATTTCCACGGAAACTATAATTTATTTGGTACAAATGGAAAATGAAGGCGAGAACGTAGCTAAGCACTTTGATAAATTAGACTAGAATGACTATGATCTCGATTATCTTGTACGTTATGTAGGTACCTAGACCTAAGTACGTTATGTTATACGCAATGTTCCTTAGGGTATTTTTGGTAGGTACTTCTTTTTATGCACTTGCTGCACTCGTAACTCCTAAACAAGACAACTGTCTAGGCACATAAAAATGTTTAGTACCTATGCACAAACCTAATACATTACAAATAAATATAAAATCGTCACAGGATTAGGTAATGGTAAATTAGGTAGGTATTAATTATACAAACACTTTTTTTTATAAAAATTGGTCGTATGAACCTTTTCAACGTCCTTGGCACTATCCACCATTATGAAAAACGTGGTGTGTAGACAGGAATACATAGCATCCGTGACGAAACCGTTAATGGACAGTTATACTTACAAATATATTTTATTGTGTTTTCAGTTCCCAATCTTACGAAATGAATAATTAAGATTGATTATATGAAACTGTGAGTTAGTAAAAATCCCTAATGTACACATCGGCCCACGCACCGTGTCTCATAATGTTTACAGAATTGTGCACGGCTGTGGATTGTGGAATGATATGTTTCAACGTGAAATAATGCTCCCGTCCGAACTTTAGCCCACTTGGTGTTTTATTGTGTGTACGCGATTCGGAGTTTTATCTCGTACAGCTGGTTGCCGGATAATCCGCGTATAAATAGCATATAGACAACAAAGCATCAACAAACTCAACTCGTATCGGGTACCGCTGCTGGCTGTCGAATATTTAGCGGTCCGACTCGGCTATTTTATGGCCGTCCTAAATTATTAAAATTGTTCTATTTCCAAACTCGTTCTGTCTATGCTATATTTATGATAATGTAGACATAGACTTATCAGATGTGTGTGATCTTTAAAAATATGAGATAGAATTTCGATGTTATTAAAACTTTTAATAGGTACTTAGGTAGGTACATAACTAAATTAGGTAAGCAATTTAGTTAGGCACGCTTATCTACCTAAATTTCTTTCAAAAAGTTTAAGAAGAATCAGTAATACGTAATCAGTAAAGTAATACGTACGTAGTAGGTATCTATATTTATAGAATTTATCTTATCTACCTATGTTTATAGAATTTAGACTTCAATATTTGTAAACCTAATCTGGTTTCATCACTATGTTTTTGCCAGAGATGTGTCTGTCTAAAGTTTCTCTATTACGTATAGGTAACCTATAAAAAATTTTCATAACTAGGCGAATTCTTAACCAGTTTTTCAGTTAAGTACCTACCTGAGATCTAAAATGAGCGAAATTTTAAGTGGTAGGTAGTAGTAATTTTTAAATGGGTGACGTGGGACTTAAATATTTACTTAGGTAGATCTATTGGTACCTACTAGAAAATTCAATTGCTAAAAAAATATCTACCTACCTACCTATTCCAAAAAGAAAATTGGACATTCAGCCTACGTTCGAGACCACCCAAGCGAATAGTGGGAGTGGCTTAGTGCCAAACTTTGTTATTGAGAGGCACATTTAAAATTTGATGAAAGAAAGTGTTATTGACTACCAGTTCATTTTATCCGATAGATTAAAATGTTTCCTTATACATCCTGACCAAAACTTTTAGATAAAATGACACATAGGCAAATTCCATCCGGTAGGTAGATTTAGATTTAATGTGAAGAACCATTATTATAACATCATATAATATAGTATCAAACCAAACATTTCTCACAGTGTTCGATTTTAGAGAAGTGTATTTATAAATAACACTGACAGTTGGACGTATTTATGCAAACAGGAACCAATCCACACCTATACCAAAATCGAGATAAGGACATAGAACGTTTCAAAAATAAGTCTTCTATCGACCCTGTAAAGATCAAAATGATGTGACAACTTTGACAGATCAAAACAATTCTATGACAAAGTTATCAACCAACATAACCGCAATTATTCAATAAACTAACAAGAACCATACCCCATGGTTACCCAATGATTTTAAAAAATAGTTAAAATTGTTTTTTTCAATAAGACTCATACCACATGATTCCTTTCATTTTTAATTTTTTAGTCAAATTAGTAGAACCATGCGGATTGGTTCTTGTTTGCGTATTAAAATAGGCGTATTACTGCACGTTTACAAAGACTCAGATTATTTGGTTCCTTGTTGATATAAGTTTATTTACAACATCTGAAAAATCATGTTGTTTTAAACTTCTTGTAAAATAAATTTTAATCAATGTTACTCATAACGATTGTAAGCCGATCGTAGGTATACATTATTGTAATTCACTTAGTTTTCTAAATATAATAATACTTATTTTAATGTTTATTCTGGTAAATTTTCGAGTGAATATAGCAACTATTTTTAAACTGAATAGTAGGTCAGTATATTGATTGACAGTGGCAACACTGTACCAAAAAACAGGAGATCTCGGTACGTCTACGTCTCACGTCGTGTAATGCATAATAATCAATTTCATTATCTATTAGTAAATTGATTTACTGTTTCCAACAATGAAGAGAGTAAACACCAGGATTCAAAATATGATTTCTAGCTGCCTCAACTATTCAGATGACAAAGAGAATGATAATCAAGGTACGTAAATAATAAATAATTTTGAGGTTGTAAAAGTTTTGGTTTGGTTGTTTCTTAAAACTTTTTTATTAGTAATTTTTGTAATATATTGTACCGTTGTAACTAAATAATAATGTTTTAACCAAATTGGTTTTTTAAAAGTTCAGCTCCTTGCACAGATATGTCAAACGGGTTTTTTGATACATAATAATAGTAAATTATAATAATGGTAGTTATGTTACTAGTCCCTTACTCAGTTTAATATATATTATTCCTTTTTCAGATTTTTATGATAACTCCAGACCAAGCAGCCCAATCCAGGTTCCTTCAGGTAGGTACTGTTTATGTTACATATCATAATTTTAAACGCCTTTTTTGCTAATTGTTGTTTCATAGGCATGTTCAAATGAGCAATTTGTGATTAAACGCGGGCTATTATTTTAGGTTTGCTGTAAAAACGAGGAAAATTGAGTACGCATGGTGAATTTAACAGTTTGCATGAAAAAACGGCTTGCGGTGATGGAGCTATATCCAATCCTAATTTGCCTGCTAAATTACTTACAGTCTCTGCTGATGTTTCCCAGAGTCCTCTGTCTCCTGTTCCGTCTTTAGCTACAAATTTTGTGAAGGAAAATAAAACATCACATAGCCCTGTTGACACTTATGAAATCGAGACTGCCGAAAAAAGCATAGAACCACCTCCATACTCACCGCTGACCCCACGCCCAGTCATCGCTAAAAATAACGCAACTTATGAAATAGAAACTGCTGAAAAAAGCATAGAACCACCTCCGTACTCACCGCTGACCCCATGCCCAGTCACCGCTAGAAATAATGCAACTTCTGCAGAAACATTTACTTCAGAAAAACTTATTGGAACTCTTGCTGATAAAACTGTATCACCGCTTCCTTCTATGTCTCCAGAAACGGCGTCTTTGTTTAATATTTTAGCTGATTCAAGAGAAATTAATAGTTATTATCTGAATATTGAAGGCGTATCTGACACCTCATCGATAACAAGCTTGAAAAGTGGCGATGCTCCATTATTTATTGATAGCGATGATTCGGTTAAAGATCCCGATTATTGTGCTTTTGAGAATTATGGCTCGAGTGGTGATAGTTCTAATAATTCAATTCCATTGATAACTGGTACTGCACATGCAGAAATCAACCAAACAGATCACAGGATTAACGAGATCGCTAATTGTCAAATAGAATTAATTAATTTAGGTCCTCTAAATGCTCAACAGGAAAATATGCATGACGATAGTGAGATGGCATTTGTTTTAGAGTCTGACAATGGTAATGGTAATAATGATAGTTTACGCGTAATGCAGCCTACGGGACGGCCAAAAAGAGGTAGAAAGCAAAATATGGTGGTATATCGCGGGAAGAAAGGAAGAAACGTAAGTACACAAATTTGTCCTATGTCAACTCTAAGAAAAAGATTGTCAGTCCTAAAGAATTTATAGATTATGAATGCAATTGCCTAAAAAAGTGCCACGAAAATATTTCAGTAGAAAAGAGATTGGCTCAATTTAAAAAGTTTTATTCCCTAGGATCTTATAATGCTCAAAATATGTTTTTAACTGCTTTAATAAACGAAAAGCCTGTGAAGCGGCATTACGTTGCAACTGACAATAAAACCCAAGTTTCGAAGAAAAAGTCTTATTCACGCCAATATTTTCTAGATGGCGTATCAGTTTGTAGAGATATGTTTGTCAAGACATTGCAGACATCGGCAAAACGAATTAATACGTCGCTTTGTAAGATGCGATCAGACAGTTGCATTACTGATAATCGTGGTGTACATGGGGGTTTCAATAGAACGCCTCTTGAAAGCGAGGAGTTCATGATTAACCTGATAAAAAAGTTGCCGACATATATATCTCACTATCGTCGACAAGAAACAGAAGGGGCTAAGTTTCTGAGACCTGACATGACTTTATCAAAAATATACGAGTTGTACAGCAATGAAGCGAAATCCACCGACATTAAATTATTGTCTGCTGCAAAAGTCAATAAATTATATTTATACAAAATTTAACCTGCGCACTAAGCCTCTCAAGAAAGATACGTGCAATAAGTGTGACTTTTTTGAAAGTCAAATTCTTGTGTTGTCGAAGAAAATAGAGGTGACATTATACTAAAACGAGCAGCGCATCAGGAAATGGCAAAAAGCTTACAAAATCAGTTGAGAACTGACATGGAACTAGCTAAAAATAATCCCACCGTCGAAACTCTTACTTTCGATCTTCAAAAAACTTTACCGTTACCGCGCATACCCACTAATATCGTATTTTACAAAAGACAACTGTGGGTATACAATTTAGGTATACATACAGGAAGCAAAGACGAAGCTCACTGTAATGTATGGGTAGAAGGAGAAGCTGGAAGAGGTGCTCAAGAGGTGGGGTCTTGTCTGATCAAACACATTACCGAAAGGCTTGATGACAATGTGAAATTTTTGATTTTATGGAGTGATTCGTGTGGAGGTCAGAATCGCAATATAAAATTGATATTAATGCTGAAAGCTATGTTGAATGAACACCCATCTTTAGACCAAATAAATATAAAATTCTTAGAATCAGGACATAGCTTCCTCCCAAATGATACAGATTTCGGAAAAATAGAATGTGCCTTAAAACGGCAACAGAGGCTCTATACACCGGATGATTATATTCATGTTATGAAAACTTGTAAAAAAACCAATCCAATGCATGTGCACAGGATGAAAAATGAAGACTTCTTGTCCTCATTAAAATTAGAAAAGAATATAATCAACAGAAAGAAAACGGTAGATGGAGAGAAAGTTTCATGGCTTCATACGAAAGAGATAATGATTAAAAAGGATGAAATGTTCAAAATTTACATGAAAACTGATTTGAATGAAGAATTTAAGGTAGTGGACATAAAAAAAAATGTTCGCGGAAGACAATATTTTATAACAAAAGCGTTGATGGAGCCACTTTGGCCAACAGGCAAACCTGTCCCTGACGCTAAATTAAAAGATTTAAAAAGTATGCTACACCTTATTCCGCAAGACTCACATGATTTTTATGTAAAACTTACTGGAAATGAGGATACAGAAGACGATATTGACGGTTTTTCAGGTCAACCGGATTTTGAACTAGAAACGGATTTAGATTAAGTTACTTTTGAGCAGTTTGGTATATAGTTCTAAGCATTTTCACATTTCATATAATTCTAGACATTTAAGATTGATTTTTATTTTACAAATATAAATGGATACGTTAAAAAAATGGTGTTTTCATTTTTTTTTCTTACATAATTATGGCAGTATAATAAGTTAATAAAGAACCAATCCACACAAAGATAGTTTTGTAAAAAGGAACCAACGAGTTTTTATTGAATTATTATTAAAAATATTAAATATTTTCATCAATATTAGGTTTGTATACACAGAACAAACTATTTTTTACAATAATATAAAGATACTTTAATTAAAATTACTGATAATTTTACTCTATACAAAATTTAGACAAAAACTGCTTTTACTCAAAACTGTCATTGTGTGGGTTGATTCTGTGTTGCATAAATACGTCCAGTTATAAGTTATAACATTCGTACCTAAATAAAATAACACACAACACAAACACATTTCGGACAAAAATACTCTTCTATCAGTGTTTTATTTTATTGTCATTTCAATTACACTCCATGGTCGATGAAAACTTTTTTCGACATCCTTGTTAGACCCAATTATTATTTTAGTGGATAACGCAACGCATCCGAATGTTTTTTCTTGCTGTCAACATTATCATCATACTCTGTCAATGTCAAATCGTAATGTCACTTTGACAACGATTGTTGATGAAAGTTTTTCAATTTGTTTATTTTTTATATTTACAACAAATACTATGCACCTATAACCGGCACTAAATAAGTGGGATTTAACCAAGAAAGAAACGATGACTATGATATAAGATTTAACAGTGAATGTTAAATTTGTGTACCTAAAATGGAATGTTACGTGGTTATATCCTTTATTGGCGAAGGATCCTTTGGTCGTGTGTTCAAAGCAAAACATAAAGAAACTGACGCCGTTGTAGCTTTAAAAGTTATAAGAAAGGTATGCAATAAATGCTTCGTATGTTTATTTTAGAAATTGTGTGTCAAATATGAAGTAAATATTGTACTTTCTGAAGCGTAACTAGCTTACATGTGTGTTATGAAACTTCTATTTAAACCACAAAATGTTATTACAACTATCACATATTCTATTGTATAACTTCTATGTATACATTTACGGTTGACTTCTATAGCCAAAATCCTCATAACCTCATTACAGAAGGGCAGATCAGTGAAAGATTTGAAAAATCTAAGACAAGAATGTGACATACAAAGGCAGCTGAAACACCCAAATATAATTCGTATGATAGATAGCTTTGACACTGAATCAGAGCTGGTTGTAGTCACAGAGTATGCAGAGAAGGAATTACATAGTATACTCGCTAAAGAAGGCTGTTTAAATGAGGATCAAGTCAAGAAAATCACTTGGGATTTGGTATCAGCTTTATATTATCTGCATTCTCACAGAGTACTGCACAGGTTTGTCCTTTAATTTTACATTTAAGACGATAGATTAGAAGTTTATAAAGTCTACATTTCCAAATAGTTTCTAATGAAAACTATTGCCCTAGATTATTTACATGAAAAAAAGACACAGAGAAAAAACATTTATTATGACAAACATGTAGACAAGAATACAGGTACATACACACAAAAAGCCGGAGCTCAGTTTAATACTGTGGCGTGGGCACAAAGGTTTGAGTCCAAAGTGCTAATTTTTAGCACCACTCTATAATACACCTACCTATGGTGCTTGTAACATTTGAGAGTTTGGTGGACATTATCTAGGCAAGTGAGGTTCTCTATACAGTATGAAATCTGCTGGATCTAATAGTATGTGGCAAAAAAATACATTTCGTGATTAAACTGTCAAACACCGAGCGGTCACCGGTGACCGCAACATATTGTTCTTTAATTGTGTCTATAAATACGGTACTCGACGAGTTAATATGCGCAGTAATTGTGTCTTTTTCCAGGGATTTAAAACCACAGAATGTATTACTCGACAGTTCAGGGCGAGCAAAATTATGTGACTTTGGTCTAGCCAGGATCATGACAAATGCTACACATATTCTGACCTCCATCAAAGGTACTCCTTTGTATATGGCGCCTGAATTAATTGAGGAGAAGCCTTATGATCATCAGGTAAATAAAGTTTTATTATATATTCCGCGCAGTTTCACTCGCTCTGCTCGGCACCTATTAATCGTAGCGTGATATTTTATAGCCTATCGCCTTCCTCGATAAATGGGCTATCCAACACAGAAAGAATTTTTCAAATCGAACCAGAAGTTTCGGAGATTAGCGCGTTCAAACAAACAGCTTTATAATATTAGTATAGATCTGTTTTTAACCTACCTAATTAAAAATGAGGAGGTTTCTCTTTATTATTGTATATCCAAAAAAAATACTGTGTGTAGTGGAACTTAAAAATGTGGATGTTGTTGGCCATTTGTTCTTGTTACATAATAATATTTTTAATACAACAAATATATTCTTTTCCAGGCAGACTTATGGTCCCTCGGATGCATAGTATACGAGTTGATAGCAGGCCAACCTCCCTTCTGTACTATGTCAATATGGCAGCTTGTACGGATGATCAGGCACAAGCCGGTGCAGTGGCCTAGTTTTATCAGCTCTGACGCTAGATCATTTTTACAGGTAAAATGATACTTCATTTAAGCCATTATTTACTATTACTTATTGCTTTCTAGTGGGTTGAGAAACAAATTTGAATTTAAGCTAGTTATTGAACTGTAATGTTTATTAAATTTGTTATTATTAATAATTCAGATTATGGTCTAAATTCTTATTATGAATAAGTTATACAACACCAATTTTCTCCATATTCCAGGGTTTATTACATAAAGATCCAATGAAAAGAATGACTTGGCCAGAAATTTTGGAGCATCCATTTGTATTTGGGCATGTCACCATTCTTCCAGAAGATGTGCAAAGTGAATCTCCTTTTACGAAACCCTTATCTTACAGTCAGCAAGAAGCTAAACAACTACAAAGGGAAAAAGTTTGTAGTAATACAAGGTAAGTTTGTTAGCAATTAAAGATTTTGGTTCGTACGGTCTTGAGTTAAAGTTTATTTTCGTTTAACAATTCTATTTCTTCAGAGCAATACCTGAACCAAAACCAACACCGAAAGAGCATGATTTACGTAATGTACGAGTAATGCAGGCAATGGAGTGCGTCCCAATGTCAGATGATGATAGTGTCAGAGCGACCAGTGCGTTCAGTGTGCGAGATAGTCTGAAGACTGATGATGAAGACCAGTCCCACCCCATAACAGCAGCTAATGCAAAACTACTTAGACATGAGTACAATGTCCTAAACAATTCCAACCTCGTTGTATGCAACCTAGAAAACAATATGGCCCAACTCATGGCAGCTAACAAGAAACAGTCAGATCTCAACAAAATGGACAAAATAGATGAAGAAAAAACGAATACAGAGAAACATGCGGAAGAAAAGAAACCAATCAGTGCCAGTGATGGTAAACAGGAATTACTAGATGTTAAGCAAAAAGTTAAGTCTATAGATACTGCATCACAAAGCTTGGAACACCCCAAAAGTTCGACGAAATGCAGTAGTGAAGTCAGCTCTGGGCTCAGCAAAAGCGTCCCACCTTCTTATAAACAAAAAATATTGCAATTTTCCCGCGACAAGCTCAGATTTGGAAGTGGAGGGAACAAATTGACACGAAGTATTAAAAGATCCTTCCATTTTAGTAGAAGTTGGGATAAAAACAAAACTGATACGCAAAGACGGACCAGTGAACCGACTATAGAGGTTTCAAGTCTCATAGATGATAAGGAAAAGTGTTCTAAAGAAGAGAAAGATCAGGATGTAGAAAAGTCTGAGATTATTGAAGAGATATCTGATGAGAAAGAGGTGGCTGATAATGATAGAATACTTAAAACTGAAGATAAAAGTGATGGTAATATTAAATTTAATGTTTGATATTTTCAATTCAAGTCGATTAAATTTTTGATATTTTCAATAATCTGGTAAAACTTAACGTTATTTTTATTTCCAGTCAAAGAGCCATCTTCAATTGAATTGGAAGAATGGGAGGCATTCCTGAACTCCAACATCAGCGAAGTAATGGATGGCGACGTGGAATCTCTCACTCAACTAAACATGGTAGGTATAGTTAAATATGATTTTATTATTAGCTTTTATTTATTTCTTTATTTAACACTTTTTGTACATACGATACGACATAGATTAAGCCCGCCAGTGTCGCCTTTTAGATGAGTACTTGAAACTTCAGTTCAACTTAGCATGAGAAAGCTTTCAAATCAAATCGCAAGTCAAACTTGCGATATCATAATTATAATAAGAAGTACAGGTAAGTAGTATTGTGAACTATGAATTTTATAGTGCTTCATCGTCCTTTTTTACAGGTTAGCATGGTGATAGGCGTAGTAGGTAGTGCGGCCCGAGCGAGTGGCGGGGGGCGCGTGTGTGGCGCTGTGGCAGCCCTACTGGCACTACCTGCGCTGGCGCATACATTGCCCAGGCATACCCTGCTCAATATACAGGATGTAAGTTTCATATTACAGATAGGATACTGTCTGCAGTATTTTACTTGCACTTTTCTGGTTCGTTTTACATGAAATATTTAATTAAATGGGTATTTTCATTTTGCAGGTATACCTTGAATCTAAAGTTGTTTACAACTTTGTGGCTGCGATTAATTCGCTAATGAACAGAGTATTCAACGACGATGGAGCGCAAGATAGGTACATGTCACTTTTATTTCGTACTCACCTCTAGTCATTTCTTTTCTATACAATGTAATTCTTACCATAAAGTTCACAATGCCTTTGGACTTACTTTGAATGAAAATTTAAAGAGTTCTTTAGTGTTTATTCAATTGGTTATTCCTTTGTTCAGCTGTGACAGTCTTGTGAATGAACATGCTCTTTTAGGGAAATCGGTTATAATAAAAATATTTATATATATATACAATATTTATATGAAATTTTGTTGTCTCCCAGGTTACAAGGCGTGGGTCGCATGCTGGAAGTATGTGCGTGGCTATGCGTGCGGTCGTGTCGCGGCGTCCGACAGTTCGCCACCGCACTCACTGCCTACAACGCACACCCTGTCTTTACCGGGCTTCTAATGCACTGTAAGAAGTTTTCATGATTATTATTCTTATTCAATTTAATTATTCTTAAGGCTGATTCCTAAATTATCTCATTTAATTCTTAAGGTGGATGGATGATGATCTCAACTGCCATTTTGTCGCTAGATGGCGTAACATCCACAATTTGGAACATTTTCCATTTTTACGGCTAAGTTAGAAATCTTTAATAGATAACATTATTGTTCGCGACACCTAGGGCATTAACTTGATTTTTTCAGATAGTCATTGTGCTTGTTATCTGGTCTCATACAAAGATTACTACAAAATAAAGATTTTGCCGCTTGACTTTACTTTTTACACACACATGCAAAGTAAATAGTAGTAACTTTCGACACCACTAGATGTCGTTTTACTATAAAAATATTAATTTATATACTTGAAATTATGTCCCTATCTATTTCTTATTAGTATAATAATTGGTCTTAGTATACTTTTGTTTCTAGACTCGATATCTTTTCAACTTAGCAAATTATTCATATAAATTATTTTAGGTAATATAGGTACACTGTACTTATATCCCCTACTACAGTACGTACAGGTAGTAGTTAGTAGTAGTAGTAAGGTAGTAATATACCCTATACCTAATAAGTTGTTGATATGTGAATGAACCTAAATTGTAATGTGTAAATAGCGACTTTACTAAATAAATAAATGAAAGACTATTATTGAAAGTTACTGAGAATTTTTACCCAGTAATACTTTGCCTGACCCGGGATTCGAACCCGAGACCCCTTGCCCGGCGACTACCGGCGTGCGACTGCACTTGCGACCACTCGGCAACGAGGCAGAATATAACATATTTTTTAAAATATTTAGTTACAATTATGATTTTGAATTTAGTATTAGAAAGAATGATGTATGTACATTACAATATAAATAACATCATACGTAAGATTGTAAGAATCTTACATAACAACACACAAGTGGTTGCTAGCTAACCATAACATTTATTTATTTTTCAAGAATACCTATTTATTATACAATTTTGAACTTCAATAAATATGAAATATGAAATAAATATAAAATGTTTTACAATTAAATTTTTAGGCTGGTAACTAAATTAACTACACAATAAAATCTTATGGACTAACAAAATAACAAACTATACATCGCTACGTGCAAAAATACCTTAATATTAATTATTCTATAATGTTCCCACTGCTGAGACTCAGGCCTCCTCTGAACTGTGGTGCTGAAATAATTTACACAAAGCAAAGTGTCGGCTTGGATTCGAACCATAGACTCGTACCACCATACAAAGATACTTAAAAATATTATAAAAAAATGTCTTCTTTTCTACGCGCTACTTTTTGTAGTCGCCGCCGCTGCCGCCGCCGCCGCGCCATATCAGTCTTCTGCTTGTCACTTTTTACTTCCATTTATGTAATTTCCGTACAATCTGAATCAAATGCTGGAAGACATAGTTTTCGCTGCAACAAATGAATTTACAGTTTTGTTAGATTATTCTTACTAAAGCTACACCTCAGAGACCTGCAGAATAAGTTAGGAAATGAGTAAGACTTATATTTTTATACCTTTCAATTCCTTGATGTCTAGAAGCCGTTTTCGAGTCATTTTCTGTTGGCGCAATCTACTTCTCTCTTTTTGATGGACATATTTTTTAAAATATTGTCCAGGGCTCTCTGTTGTCTTTTTTTTCCATGCAGTTTGATGCCATTTATGTCCTACAGAATGAGACAATCCTGAAAAGCCAAATCATAGTCACATACATGTCTGTTTGCAACCTAAGTTTTTATTAATGAAATTGAAAGTTCCGTATTAAGTAATCAAAAGTTGAGAAAAACTTCTTTATAAAGGAGAGAAGAAGACATAGATCATGTAGGTTGCTAGAGATATCATATAATTATTGTTTTAAAATATCTATGAAAAAACTCATTTACCTGCTACATGAACACGCCGCTGATAGGAGCCTCCTTTTCCAAGACTGAGACGTTTTCCACAGTTAAATTTATTAATGACACTCATAAAATTTTCTGCAACATTTGGCGTTTCGTTAGACAACCGCCTGGCTTTCAAAGCGATTCTTTCATTTGCAGCATAAATAAGAGCCCAGACCTCTGGTGCTGTATTTCTTAGGATTTCTACTTGGTTGTCTTGCTGTTTATTCTCGTCAGGTGGTAATTGCTTCACTGAACAGTAATATTCCTTACATTTTTCATGCTGTCCAAATACATGAAGTGGACTATTCCTTAAATCATCAGCCATTGAACCTGACTCATTGCTGTTGTGAACAATAATCTTTCGCGCTACCAGTGTCAATTTCATCAATTTAGGCTTCAAAATATTTCGTCCATACAAAGGGAGCTTCGTATTACCTAAAATCTTTAAAAAAATATTAAAACATAGAAAGATAAAAAAACTTTTTGAAAATAATATCTGACTTCTAAAACAAATACAACAAAAAATCTGCGATTCCATTATCAAATCCTTATTTGGTGAATGAGACCACTTCAGATGTATACTCTTTCAAATAAAAAAACAATTTTAAAAACCAGTGGGCAATTCGTGGAGTTTGGTGGACAAACATAAAAAATACAGTCGAATTAATAACCTCCTCCTTTTTGGAAGTCGGTTGAAATCCTACTGTAAGTGAAAAATTTATGAAATATGTATATATGAAATATGTACAGAAAAATGACTAAACGGATATGGATGAATATAACTACGAGATATTTTATAACTACGACATAGATTTACTATACATTTTAACACATGCAGAGCCGTAAGTAAAAGCTAGTGTAAAATCATTATTTATAACTCTAAGAAATGGTTGTTTACCTTGTAAAGTGCACTCGTGTAGTTTTTTATAACATGATTCTTGCATTCAATTTTCTTTATTTGGTTTCCATAAGACACCTTTTCTTTCAAATTAGCAAACACTGAAGAATCGCCATCTCCTATAAAACTTAGGTACCGAAGATTATGCATATTCTCACTCTGTTGAAATCCTTCAACAATAATATCAGATTCCATTGCAGTAGATGGCCCAGTAAAGTTTTTGCAGCAGCCATGACTCTTAGCGTCTGTACCTGTTCGCTCATAATACTGGCATGTATAACAATATTTGTTCCTGACACCAAGATAAAGACATTTCTTGGTTTCCTTTCCAATAATGCAGGCCTAAAATTAAAGTTCTTAGTTCAAATATTGTAACACATTATAAATTAAAACACTGAACATTGAATATGTTGTAATTTGGTATTGTCAAACATAAATTTTATCACTACAAACATGCAAACGCGTAGTAATGTAATGAACTCAAAAATATGGTATCAAGTTGGAACTTACCATTCCAGATGACGAATCAAAGTTGTGACCATATGACCTTTTCAACCATCCACCATCTACATATACAGTAATGTATGGAATACCATCTGAAGAAACATTTCCTTTATCAATAGCAATAGACCTTTCTTGCTCACCAGCTTTCTTTATTTCTTCGGCCAAATGTTCATGCCATACATTGCCTAATTGTTTTTCTATTAAACGGAACGTTTGTCCGGTCATTGTTGGTATATCCATTAGACTTGTGATGTGTGCTGCCTGAGTGTAATAACTTCCAGCAGTCACAGTTGCCCATACAAATGCCGTGTTAATTTTCTGTTTCTTCTCTGTGCTTTGCTGCCATATTTTATTACACATACTACATTTAAATGTTAATAAACTGTGAAATCCTTTCCGTTGTTCACTAATATACTCTATTTGAGATGACTCACAAGACTGTCGGTGGTTTTCCATTTGAAATGCCCATTGGATCACATGTTTCAAATCAACAATACGGTACCCTTCCAAACCTGATAAGTTGTCACTTGATGTTCTTTCCACAGTTAGTTGATAAGCTTCAGTCTCTGAATCGGGTTGTGGCCAATCAAAATCCACAGTCTTTGCTTGCTCTGTAACAGATTCAACTGTATTGGAGCTAGAGCTGCAGGCTATGGCTTCGTATCGAATTTCTGGTATACCACGCGAATAGGTTTTGGGCGTATCGTCAGCTATCGAAAGGTTGGACAGCTGATGATCTTGAGTTGTATGTGAACTGAAATAAAAGATAAATAAATGAAATAGGTAGTTATTAATCACAATGTTGAGAGGCAGAAGAATATTGATAGATCTGTAGGTACCTAATTACAACAGAGCAGTCCACAGTTCTTTCCACTATCTTCTGTTTCTTGTTACGCCATGCTTCCACCCGGCTGCAATTTATTAAAACTTGCTCAATACATATTACTATTTGTAACTAACCTTATCGAGCATACAACCATAACGATCTTTTCTTTTTTTTCATAGTAAAGGAAAAATGGCGGTAAACGAAGACTAGAACATGAAATGGCTATCAAATAAACTCCACTCACGTAAATCTGATTAGAAATCTTATGGGAATCTGATTTACTCACTATAGATCGCTAGAAGAACTTTCATGATGTCTTTTGAATGCGGCTTGCACCTTTTTCCGTGATTTTCGCGGCCCTGAATACTTATGTCGTATATACGCAAGTTTATTAGTCGGGTTCATCTTAGGCAGTTCAGTTGCAATTCAATCTGTAATCAAAAAGAATAATTAAAAACAACAGCAAATGTATCTTATTTATAAAATGATTCAAGAAATTTGTATTATTCAGAAAAAACACCACCATCAAGCAAGCTGTCAAGTGCAGTCAAGAGTCAGTTAAGCTCAGTGTTGCCAACTAATACAGAATCTACTAAACTACTATTAAAATTGTCAAAATTATACGAAATACTATAAAACTATGCTAAAAAAAATCTCTTACGTTCTTTAGTGAGAAATAAAACGTCTTTTAATTTTGAATCTTTCATAATCAAGAAAATTTGTGTAAGAAGCGTCAATAAACAAAAAATATAATACAAGAAGGGAGTCTTGTTGTTATACGTCTGGTGTTTATTAATATAAGTTTTTTTTAAATTAATAATAAACATGTTAAAATATCCCGTTTAAGTTCTAATGATACTGGTGTTTATTGTTTCGTCTGGATTTCATGAGAAAGTATTTTCCGAGCCCCCTTTCTTTAATAAAAAAACTTCGTAGTAAAGTTTCGTTGCTAAATTGGTGTCCAGATTCTTAAATATTATACAAAGATGTTAAATTTCGCGTTGAATAGTAACACCACATTTGTTTACCATTTATTTTATTGAAATTTCAATGCGTAATTTTTATTTTTGAATTCTTAGCAAAGAACGATCTTTTAAAATGTATGGTACGATCTCCTAAAAATAAAGTTGGCAACCCTGCTTGACGCACTTTGTGTCTGCTAATATTACTAGTAAAATAAGCAATTAAGAAATATCAAAGTGGTTTATCTGTGTGTTGACTAATCTTGCTAGATTCACATGAATTAAATATGATTTAATCAATAAATTTACGCGATGCCTACGTTTCACTATTGTGTAGGTAGCTTCGCTGATTAGTGATTAGTTATAAATAACTTACTTATACATCAAATTCTATTCTCTGACAAACCAATGGATTAGTAGCTAAGCGTATCAGAAAATGTGTTATCAGTATCTACTTACATACATTACAAAGATTTTTAAAGATGATCAAGGAAGACGGCCTGCGGTAAGACCCCTCTTTGAGGAGTAGCTGGAGAGACGTCACGGCGTCCTGACCGATCGGTTGACGGAAGTTCTCACCGGACCGAGGGCAGATCGTAGAGATAATTTTTTCACTTTATGTAAACCATTATTTCTTATTCCATGATAATAATATTTTAAAATAAATAAATAAAAATCATAAAATGTTAATTCCGCGGGTAAAACCGCGCGCCCGGCGCTAACTTGCTAGAAACACATTTTTCTGGAAACTATTCGCAGTTGTCAAGACTCAAGACATCACGCATAGACGGAATGGCAACAGCGCACGATCTCAAAGTCGCATTCACGCGTCATTCGGTAGTAACCTTGGCGCTTGTTTGAATTTTCGAACAGCGCCATCTATTATGAATGTTTACGAATTGCAAACTTTTAACACAACAGCAACCAAATTTCTCGGTGGTTCTATAAATTTCTGTCAGATGGTGCGATTCAGGTCACTCACACATGTAAAGACATTTTCGTTTTTTATTCGGTCTAATTCTCCTAGAAATACTGTTTTTTTATATAAAATTTGGGCCATACGCGACCATAATACATTATAAAGTCTCATTATGTTGCTTTCATTCTGCAAAAACTATTTATTTACGGAGATTTCTACACCTGAAAAATGTATGGAGAGGTATATCTAGGCATTCACCTTAACTGTAGAATAAAATTGACATTTGACAGTTTTTAGTATGGAAGAATTGTCAAATACCTATTTAAAAGTTATTCTTCAGTTCAAATTTATCTGGCGTTGGAAAAATGTGCCTTTATTCCTATTACGGTATAACAGAGTGAATACATACGAAAATGAGGTGAATATTAGAAAACATTACCCAATCCCAATATCTATTCACCATGTCTCCACTATCATGTCTTTTTACCCCTCGAATTCTATTCATCCCGTTTTACCGTACTTAATATTTTGATTACCTACCTCATTAATGACCACTGTTCTTAAATGTCCGCAGAAACTTAAAACTAAACTTTCGAGTCTACTAAAGTTTTATTAAGATCCGGCCAAAAGCCTTTTATTTTGTAAAAAAAAAGAACAAATTTCAAAAATATTGCATGTGTTACTTTTAAAGTAGGGTGAACTCATCTAACTTCGTGACAAAGGCATTTGAGTAATAAAATACCAATAAATTATTAATTAATTTAATTCAGTCTCCGCATGAGTTTTAATCAGTCTTTTATGAGGAATATTAGCACAAATAATCAGATTTTTTTCTAGAAACCTAAGAGTTCTACCAAATTTACTTAACCGAATTATTAGGCGAGTCACAGAATTGGATGAGTTCACTATACGATTTCGTATTTAATTTTATAATTTAGAAATTGCATGACATGTTTTTCTTGACGGATGTGAGTGCAGAGTTTATTTTCAAAAAGATGACGTGTTGTTTGTCCAGACGAAATAAGGTCATGTTACAAACAAATGACATTTTATATTCGCACAGACAAATGTACCAATATCTCGGACGTTAGAAAATTGCGACCAGACAGTTTGACATAATGTTAAAACTATTTAAACCGAATTATGTCAGCTAGTATCGGATATCTAATTAATTTTTCACTTCCTGTTTTTGTAATCATGTAGTAAAAGTGACACTTCAGTCTGTAAATAAATGAAAATCTTATTCAATGTGGGCTAACGAAAGCAACCGTTTATAAACTTCAGAGGGATTTAGATGGATAAATGGAATTGTACACGAAATCTTCTTGCATAGCAAAACAGACCTGATTTTTTATCGAGTTGATAAGTAAGGGGTGTTCATTTCGCTACGTTTTTTTCCACAGATTCCAAATCACCCCGTATAGTTCTCAACATCGTGGGTCTTCTTATAACGGTGCTACAAGATCTACCAGAACATGCAGACGTCGTCGAAAAGATACTTTTTGACGAAGAAAAATTCAATTTCATAACTTTGGTGGAACAACCAAGTGACGCTTTGAGAATGAGAGTGTGTATATTAATTAGTTTGCTGTGCACATTCTCATGTACCGCGTTTTCGGTTGCCATGGAAACGAAGTGGAGTAAGAAAGAGACTGAATCCATTGAGGCTTTACACACTCATTGTAATGTGGCTCTGAATAGAGCAGCGCGATTGGCCACAAAAGAGCTTAGCAATATGCCTTTTTATGTCAGCTAGTGATATAGTTTAATTTTGCTGAGCAACAATATCGGATCAATTTGAACTAAAAATTGAAGAAATATTTTTTTAAACAAATGGTTAAAGATGGGGAATACTGAAAAGTTTTTTACATATTTTTGTAGCTATTATGATGCAGCTAAAGCAAATTATAAATCAACTATGTTCTGCCAGCGGCTTCGTCCGCGTTAGCGTGGGATAAAAAGTAGCCTATAAAAGTAGGCTACTATCCCGACTAGACGTGTTTGAGTAACAAGTATACACCCAAACTCACAATCTTTCGCATTTATAGTAGATAATAGTAAGATAAAGTAAGATTTGTGAAGAATACTTTGAGGTAATCTCATCACTTAGGTAAGTAATTTCATTTTTATATATTTTTTTAATTCCTGTAGACATTTTCTTAATTACCTATCTTTTTTATAATTCATAATTTTCATCCTATAGTTTGTTGAAATAGATTAGTTATACCTAGCACTAATGTTGACCTAGGTAATTTTTATATATAAAATAAGAAGACTATTAAATGCTCGTTACAAAATTGCTTTAAATATTGTTAAATTTCCGATTATGATATGGCTAGAGACGTAAGGGAAGAATGTCCTAATACTCAAACGCCACTCAATTCTTTGTAAAATGACTGAGACGGCACGATATTTTAGTACAACTTAATGACAATTTGAATAGCCTTTCAGTATTCGGGCGTAAATGAGATATTGACCACAGACTGAATGTAGAAGAATTTCTATATGAATGGGTACTGAGTATCTAAGACTCGCTTTTAAAGACAAAAATGTTATATCTTACATGTTTTACTCAAAAGAAAGAAATAAAGAAAAAACATTTATTCGAAACTGAAAAGTTTGATTGTTTGTTTGTTTGCTTGACCGCCCTTATCTCTGGAACTACTGGCTCGACTTGGAAAAATCTTTTTGTGTTGGGTAGTCCAATTATCGAGGAAGGCTATAGGCTACGTAAAACGTCACACTACAACCAATAGGAGCCGAGCAGAGCTGATGAAGGCGCGAGGGAATAGCTAGCAAGTCATGCGGATAAGGTTTGTAGCAAAGCGTATTTATCCCCAACCGGTCACCGGTGACCGCTCTCCACTAACTAAATTATATACCTTATTTCCAATGTTTAGAGACTATTTTTGTATGAACAAATTTAAGGGATGATATATCACAAAGGATTGTTACTGTCAAATATAAAAAGCGTATAAATACTGTAAAATATAGAACTATGGACTTTAATGTAGTTTATTAATATTTTATTTCGTCTAATAGATAAGACAAAAAATGGTAATGTAAAACAAATTTTATCAAAATTTGCTCACCTATTTATGTGGTTCCAGTGCCATAAATATTATTTAAAATATTTGTCTTTAATGTATTTCATAGAATTTTTGTAATATAGGACTTAGATTGGAAATGACTCACTCAGTCTTCGTTTATACGCCATTTGTTTGGGGGGTTGAATATAATATTATTTAATGGTTATAATTATAATATTATTGTGTTTCTATTTAAATGTTGTGTATCAATGAAAAAAATTTTTTAGAGTATCGGATTCTTAAAAATTTTATTATAACTTTTTATAATAATAATGTATATAAACTCAAAAATTGTTATCTCATATAGATTTATCATGCATTTATAAATAAAAAGTATTGTAATGTAAAATCTCTAAAACATAATAGTGTAAGATTTTTATACTCAAAGATAGTGATAATTCAAAGTAATCTCAATTTTATTCTAAATCTCAAAAGCAATAATCTATACAACGATGTAAACACAATAAAATTAAAATATAAAAAATATATGCATAAGTACTTCATGTATTTTATTTATATTACAAAATTTAAATAGGTACTCGATAATTAGAAATGACGCAGTTGTAAATTCCAGTTTTATAAAAATATTTTTATCGAATTACGATGTGTCATTAAAATCATGTCATAAGGGATTATGATACAACACATATTCATTCAGCCTTGAACTGGACCCAATCGTTCACATCTAGATATACCCCAAAACATAAGGACGGTTCCAAGGTTAGATAAACATATATTTTACCAGTTATCAAACAGGATCACGTAAGCTGATACTAGTGTAGTATTATCAATGATAACATAATACTTATTACTTTTTATTTAGGTTGAACTTTACTAGCTCTTTCCGTGGTTCTACTTGTATAATTAAAGAAAAAAATAAAAGTAAAATAACTAAAAATCGCGGGTTACTCACGTGAATATACTGAGAATGATGTATGAGCGATGCAGTAGGCTGCGCGACAGCGGCACGCTGCTCATGAGGAAGAAACCCTCTGGTTCTAAAGAGAGCTAACCTCAGTATATTCACGTGAGTAACCTGCGATTGTTTGTTAATTTAGCATTTTTCACGATAGTTATTATAAATCTATCTATACTTATAATAAATCTGTAGAGAGGTCAATTCTGTACATAAAATATATTATTTAAAAAATAACTATCAAGGGGTGGTTAGGGATCGCTACTGATGCCAAAAATGCAATCAGTAAAATTTTTGTCTGTCTGTCTGTCTGTCTGTATGTTCGTTATGGAAACAAAAACTACTCGATGGATTTTAACGAAATTTGGCACAATTATTTTTCATACTCTTAGGCAGGTTATAGTATACTTTTCATTACGCTACGATCAATAGGAGCAGAGCAGTGAAGGGAAATATTGGGAAAACGGGAGAAGTTACTCCATTTTTTAAGCTTCCGTTGCGTGTGCAGGCTTATAGGTTAAAGCTGCATAAAAATCATGTATGACAGAAATATTTTCCTTAAAATTATATAAAAAATATTCTTCGACAGCATATGTCTATCTTTTATGGTTGACTCACAATAACACGTGAAACTCCCGATAGCTTAGCAATTCGGTGATTTCTGATTGTATTTGTCTACTCTAACGTTCACGATACTCATTCATAGACTTTACGCTGTAACTGAAAGGCCAATGGTTGAAATTCGCTTGACTCGATATTATAAATGAAAATATGTGAGTTTATGTGTATGTTTGTTACTCAGTCATATTAAACCGACTGAAGGGACCGGAATGAAATTCGGAACAGAGGTAGATTATGGTCTGAAGTGATACATAGGCATTTTACCCCTGGGATCGCGGGCGAAGCCGCTGGCAGAAGCTAGTATTCTAATAGTTTGAAAGTGGCGCGTTGTCATTCGACGTGGAGAATTAAGAGTGAGGCTGTTCAGCAGTATATATCTTCCAGCCGATGATGATGATGACAATATTTTAACGATACCAACCAATCGACTCTGGTAAAGCAGAATATTTTGAGGATAAGTTTAGAATTGAATCCTATCGACTCTTATCTCAAATCCAAAACGAGGTGCAGCTTAGGTTCGTTGTCCGTGCATTCTCTGTTAGTTTTTTCCTTACAGTGGGACTCTTGGGTCAGACACTTGCCTTGCATATAAAAATATACATCTGTTTGAAAACGTTTGTATGAAGGTTTCAAAAGGTTTATATTAGTTTTAGTTGTTTCGCTCTCGTCTAAGTATAGATTTAATTTTTTCTTTGTTCCAAACTTCATCAAAATTGGTCTAGCGGTATTTTGGTTAGTTGCATTTATATACTGGATTAGAATTTCTTTTGTGTTGTAAGTCTTGATTTTTGGTTACTTGGCCCTTAGTCTTTCTAGCCCATCAGATTGCTAGTTACGTCAGTCATGGAACTGATCACAATCCATGCTATGTTGTCTTCAAAGATTTTAGTATATTTTATTTATGTATTATATTATTATTTATATATAATACATATGGGTACTATTATTAAATGTTTGACAAAAATAAACTTATTAGTAGATATAATCGTAATATTTTATTGAAAAAAAAGGACTAAGATAAAGTCAGAAAAATATGTTGTTATTTTAAATATAAATGTGCTGCAGTCCTGGGAGTCAAGGCCAGGAGGCCAGAATAAATATTTTTATGCTGCAATTTAGAAACAATTTACAGAATACATCATTCGAATGTAATATACAATGACATGCATGGTAGCTACCTACCTACAATAATTTTGATGTTAGTGAAGTTATTTGTTATAATTGCGTCAATGCAAAAACATAATCACGAGGACATCATGATGTTTATACAACTATACTGATAATTTCCGTATTAACGTGAAAAACACCAAAAAAATGTGCATGCATGCGATATGTAGTTACCTTGAACCATATTTAATCGTTCATCTGCACGAATGAAGTAGGAGGGCATTCGAAGGTTAGATAATGTTAATCTGAGTGCACTTATCTTAGTTTTCATATCCTCAATATGTTTTGTAATTTAATATTATAATCACCACCATCATTGTCAATAGTACGTGAGGCTCCTTGCTGGATTATGGGCAATTGGGCATACTCCAGCATATGGGACTACATAAGAGGGGTTCCTTAATCTGTACGCCTGGCAGGCGGGCAGGTTGTAGTCTTGCAGATCGCAAGTTTAACTTGTTCAAGTTAATCAGAGAATTCTGCTGTTCTGTTGTTCGGTTTTGTTAAATGTGTGGTCTAATCATCTAGTCAGCTATTAGGAAATTCCCGGAAAGAGTAGTCGTGGTATATTATATATATTATGTTCTCTATTGTCAGTAGTACAACACAGAAAAATGAGCAAGAAAATGTTGTAGGTGCAGTTCACAAAATGCAGTCACTTTCAGCCTTGAACCTAATTTAATCGTTCATATCTATGAAACAAGAGGACATTCGGAGGTTATATAAAGGTAATGCTATGCAGCTATGCATTGTATTTCATATCCTGTTCAATTAACTTTGTTATATAATAAAACAAAGATTAAAATGTGACTGCTTCATAGAAAGTTTCTAGTGCAATTAATTTCAGGATGTTTCTTTTCTTTTAGTTTCTTAGGTAAGAGGGATTGGTTGGGAAACATTTGTTTACGTGGCATGTAAAATACGGTGTGTAGAGTAATTTGTTACAGTAGTTTATTACACATATCTTTTAAGGAAGACTGGAATAGAAAACAATACAATTATAAGTAAAAATACAAGTCCAATTTCAAGCTTTAGGTACTGCCCATAATAGTAAGCAATTGACAAAATGTTTAAGGGAATTAAGTAGTGATGGTTTTATAGATTTTCTTTTCATTTTCCTAAGCACTATTCTTTTAGTTCAGAGAGGTCAAACAAATCGTACATACAATTGTGAATTGAAAAATATCTCGATCTTTCCAGGTAGGTATGTATTTTTTGCAACAAATTCTTAATATTCTTATCATCCTGTTTTTGGCAACCAATACTTATAGATTATGTGGACCGTGTTGTGCCAAATCATACCAATCCACAATTTCGTCAAAATTGAGTTATATACATCATCCAACGTAAAATCACCTCTAAATTCATGTGGCTAAGTTTGATTTCAATCTGACACATATAGCTGAAGTTATTAAAAAATAAAAGGTATCTGGAACCAACCCACAATATGAATAAACATTTTTTTTTTTGGTCAATTCAAGACATGCCGTTTGGAACTCGCCTTAAGCTGTAAGCGATATTGGTTGAATGTACCAAAATGACTTGGTATATTAGCAAACTGCAAACGATATTGGTTAAACATACCAAAAGCACTTGGTATATGTTGTCCTAAGCGTAAACAATATTGCTTGAATGTACCAAAAGCACTTGGTATATTAGCAAACTGCAAACGATATTGGTTAAACATACCAAAAGCACTTGGTATATGTTGTCCTAAGCGTAAACAATATTGCTTGAATGTACCAAAAGCACTTGGTATATTTTGGCAATAAAATACAGGTCAATGTATCAGTCAGAAGATTCCATGCTCTTTGTAATACAACAATTGTGTATTAAAACAATTCTGCCAATATGTGCCAAGAAGTTTAGTTGTTGTTGTTTGGTATAAAATGATAAAAAAATTACATTAAGTTTTATTACCTTTTTTTTAGTAAGTACCTATACATAATGATTATCTTATTAACTTCATAGAACGGCTGAAAATATCAAAATTGAACGCACCTTTTATTTATTTTACACAGGCAATACTGTGGCAGCAGTCAGATCAGCTGTCAGTTTTTAAATTCATCTGTTTTAGTCGTTCGTGTACGTTCGTGACTTAACCAACACTCGCTTTGTAAATTAATATAAGATATTTAAAAATGGAATACAACAAAGTGCTTAAAAGTGCAGTTATAGGATACGAATCTTCTGATAGTGACTCAAGTGGTAAGTAGTTAATAAAATACTTTACGTGTTTTGTAGATAGGTAGTTATTTATCCAGATTGTTTCATGTGACTATTTTTTTCAGACATACCGAATTCGCCAGATACGTCGCTAAATATTAAGCATATTACGGTACCAGAATCTCCACAAAGTAAGTACCTACCTACTTAGTCACTTAATAATTATTACCTACTTACTACCCAGTTCCATAGATCAAGCTTTTACTTACAAAATGTGACGCTAGTTGTTATTATTGTTAGTCAGCGGCGAAAGCAACAGCTTTCGTTTTATCCGTTTAATGTCAATAAGTGATAATTTTTAGATTAATATTCCTATTTCTCGTTGCAAAAGTTTGTTTCGTGAACGAAGGGGCAACGGGTCACACCACCCGTTGCCGCTTCGTGCGCTAGGAAACTTTTGCCTTTGCCTATCGCCCGCGCATCTCTTGCCTCGGTTGTTGAGTACTTTACCTGCCTAATACGTACACAAAGCACCGCTAATTAGTTAGCGGCGCTACACATCGACACAACTATCATTTACACAATATACATGTGTGGGTAATTTCATATCAATAGATATGTATAGAAACAATCGTCTATCACACACATCTTGGTATTTAAAAATCATTTTTGTGTCGGTATACGCAATAATTTAGTAAATAAGTTTAAATAAAAACGAGGGTAAAGATAAAATTACTCATAACAAACTTTGAATAAATCGAAATCAAAAATAATGAACGATCGAGCTATACAATACCCATATAAATATAGTGCTTTCTCATTGTAATTTTATGTTACTGAATGATATAAAATATTTCGATGATCTCATCTACAGCGCGCTTGGCGCAATGGTTATCGCCTCCAATTGTCAAGTAAAGTGCCGCCGGATCGATTCCAACATTCACATGTTGTTTTAGAATTAATTTATCAAATATTTGAAATTTGAAATTAGAAACAATTAAATCTTTTTTTTTTTTTCCTTTCCTATTGTTCTAAATCTTATGTTAATTTTAATAGTAAATACTTTAGATTTATTTATACCTATAATATCTTTTATTTATATTTTAGTTCTAGTTATTTATTATTTAGAATAATCTCATTTGCTTCATGCATTTCAACCAACTTAAATAAGATAAAAACAGTAAAAAAGTAATTAACTGTGATTTCTTAATGGTTCGATACCTGAGTATATTTGCAATGTTTGTGGCGACCATAGAAATCTCGAGTCATTTTATTTTACACGCTTATGAAGTAACTACCGACTATTTAAAACATGTTTTTCAAATCACCCGACTTACAAAATAATTGCGTTCTTAGTTGTCAATTTATGAGGATTTCATAGTTTATTGCTACACTACTTATATTCGTGTGCAAAGTTATTTTTATTTTTACAAGATGTTCCAACACCTATCAACATTTAAAAAGGCTGAAACCATTGTTTTGCATGAGCAAAACATAACTAACAATAACTGAAATAGCAAGGCGTTTAATGATATCGGTGAGTAAATAAGATACTACGTTGTTATTCTAAATAATATTTATTTCATTTTGTAACTCGACACACCTATCAATTTTTGCACTAGAATAAAATAATTATTGCAACTTATTATGAAGTTCAATATTATAAAGATATATTAATAATTTATTATTAATTGTATTGTAACTTGACTTGTTTTTGTTAGGAGTGTTTCTTTAAAACATATCTGGTTAGGGATTTTTATTCCTTACGCCACTACTTAATTATAAATTATTATTCTAACATTGTGTTTACTTATATTTATTATTATTTTTAAGTAACTTTAATTCCTGTAAAGTATTTCCTGGTATTTTAAATACTTATTTGTTTGGTATCAACAGAGGAGATCCATGCAGTTATGGGTGCACAGATATGCGGAGACCGGTGACGTTAAACATCGTCGACGTGGGCCTAAACCAAAGGCAAATTCATCGGCTCGGCACTACGACATCGTAGCCAGGCACATGGCTGATCCGTTCCTGCCAACCCGCACTACAGCGACAGCACTGAATGTTTTAATACAAACTGTACGGAGACACCTGCATTCTGGTTTAAGGTGCAGGAAGCCAGAGAAGAAAATATTGTTATCTGTGGTTCACCAGCAAAAGCGCTAAGAATTTGCTAAGGACTTTATTAATTTTGATTGGGCGAACAGTGTAATCATATTGAGCGACGAAAAGACTTTCAAGTCGGATAAGGATGGGCGTAAAATATTGTGAAGAAAAGATGGAGAAAGGTATACGAATTGCAACCTTCTGCCTTGTAGGATCAGTGATTGTATTGATTTCGGAATCAATTATTGAGCCTGTCAAACTCTGCCTTTATTAAAATTAACATAAAATAATGTTTAATTTTTTTAAGAATATTAAAATGCTGTCTAGAACATACGGTGAGTGATGTTATTGTTTTGTGGTTAGAAATTGTCATAATTTCTTTCTATTCAACATGTTTATTCACTTCACTTTAATTTTTCATTAACAAATTTATTTAACTGCTTTCGAACTTGATTGACATATTTATTTACGCCCATCTTCAATTAATTTAAAGTTTCCCTGATTCTAAAGGTCATGAAAGTTAAAATCGTTCCATAGCATTCGTCACATTCTTTTTACTATCATACAGCCCACTGAATATTGAACCTTATAACAACCGTCGTAAAATAGATAATTAATGGAAGTTCAAACGACAAAAAGTCGCCCATTTCAAGATATATTTTACATGTAATTTTTTACATGTTTTACTTGTTTATTACTGTAAAACTGTAATTTAATAATACATTATATTATTAAATTACAAAACAAGAATGTTGTATATTTGTTTATTACCTACTTAATAAAAAATGTTGCTGCCATCGTATTACCGCTGTATCGCATATTTCCCGATTCGACTATGAGGTTTATTGTCATATCTATTAATTATGATTTAAAGAACTTTAAACTTAACATGTGGTATATAATTAATTATTAGATATAAATATTGAATATAAAACAACATATTTGTATAATAAATAAATTAATTGTAATAAAAAATAGTATTGTTTTATTTACCAACTCATTTGCTTCTTTTATAGCCTGATATTTATATTTTATGACAAAAAACAAAAAAAAAAATAAGAAAAATAACAAGGTAAAATAAAATTAACTTTTAGCTGGAATAGAACCCACATCATTGATCCTTGAAAGACGATAAAAGCGTGCGCATTAACCAATCGACCACGAGCACTACGATAATGACAGTGAAAATGTCGGGTCATATCAATGATTGTAAATAGTTTTAACCTTACCTATGCATTAAATTATAAAAATACGTATACCGACACAAGAATGAAAATACCAATGTGAACGTGGTGGACGAATATTTTTATATACAGTTATATGAAATTACGCACACATGTACCTACACTGTGTAAATGACAGTTGTGTCGATGTGTAGCGCTGCAACTAATTAGCGGTGCTTTGTGTACCTACATATTAAATCAAATTAAAATATTCACAATGTCTTACGTATTTTTTTTTTTTTTTGCGTATAGGACGAAACGTCTAATTATTATGATGGTAAAATAATAATATGTAATAAAAATAATGTAAGTCCGTAAGTACTTTAGGTAGGTACAAGTAAGTACTATACTAATGCCCCATACACACGTAACTGTTTATCGTAGCGATTAATCTGTGCAGTTTTATAGATCGTGTGTATGGGAAATCGTAACGATTATCGACAACGATTTTCCATACACACGATCGATAAAACTGCGCAAACTGGACTGCACAGAATAATCGCTACGATAAACAGTTACGTGTGTATGGGGCTTTAGACATATTACTGCATTCGACGAGTCGAAATTAATATCCTAATTCATAATATTGAAACATTTTTACTTTAAGTTAGTATTATTATACGCGATTATTGTTAGATAGCTGGAACTGGTGTTAAATAAACATTTTGTGAAGGTACGATGAAATTTATGTGACTGACTAATTTTTTTTTCTGCTTTAGGTCCATCTTTGTGCAGCCGATACGAAGATTTTTATGCACAAGTTGAAATCCAATCCGATATATTTTCTACAAATGAAAGCTGCCCCGTCCAAGCATTGAATACAACCGATTCACGCTACATTGAAACACCAGCTAAGTCATTTCTAACTTCTGAGCAGTTCTTGCAAAACGATCCGCGCAGCATTGAAGCACCTGCTTACTCTCCTCTAACCCCTGGTCCTGGACAGCTCTTGCAGAACGATCCGCGCAGCATTGAAGCACCTGCTTACTCACCCCTAACTCCTGGTCCTGGACAGCTCTTGCAGAACGATCCGCGCAGCATTGAAGCACCTGCTTACTCACCCCTAACTCCTGGTCCTGGACAGCTCTTGCAGAACGATCCGCGCAGCATTGAAGCACCTGCTCACTCACCCCTAACTCCTGGTCCTGGACAGCTCTTGCAGAACGATCCGCGCAGCATTGAAGCACCTGCTTACTCACCCCTAACTCCTGGTCCTGGACAGCTCTTGCAGAACGATCCGCGCAGCATTGAAGCACCTGCTTACTCACCCCTAACTCCTGGTCCTGGACAGCTCTTGCAGAACGATCCGCGCAGCATTGAAGCACCTGCTTACTCACCCCTCACCCCTAAAGAGCTAAAATTAAAAAATAATTCTTCTGCATGTTCTTCATCCAAGGTAGGGGTTTCAAATTTTACAGCTTACTTATCACCATTTAATAGTGAAACATCTGCATCGCCAATTCCGTCTATGTCGCCCCAAACAAAAAAATTGTTTCAAACATTAGTAGGGGATGGTTTTAATAGTGACGATTCAGTAAAAGATCCAAATTACGAAGGTGACGAAGATGAAATTGACAGCAGTGATTATTTAGAAGAACAAACAAGTCCTCGAACCATTAATGTCGAAGTTGAATATATACACCAGGCATCAAGAGCTATAGTGAAAAAGAAAAGTAAGAAAGAGGGTCACTTAATGCCTAAAAATAAACAAGATGATTTCGATAAAATAGAGGAAGATATTTGCGCAGAAAACGAAGAACGTGCTGATGTAGAAAAAAGAGCAGATAACGAGAACGATTGTGAGCAGGACTTAGGTGTTATGGAAAATGAAGAGATTGATATTAGAAAAGGACGACCCAAGAAAGGCAGAAAACGCATAGGCATTTTCCCAAGGTGTGAAATCAAAAAAAGAAAGTATGATAATAAGCCTTATACCGACCGAAAACATAATTTAATTCAACCCAAAGAGTTTAGGAATATGCAATGCTCTTGCAAGAAAATGTGTTCTAATTTAGTATCGACAGAAGAAAGAAGGAAGGAATTTAATACTTATATGCATTTAGGCTCGTATACTGCGCAGATGCTTTACATAACTAAGTGTGTAGAAGAAATAAATAAAAAACGTACATACCAACCTGATCCTAACAAAACATCTAAGCCAAAAGAGTTCACACGGGTTTATAATTTGGGAGGTAAAATAGTTTGCAGGGAAATGTTTTTGAAGACACTACAAATAACTACACAAAAAGTTGACACAGCTCTAAAGAAAATGCGAATTGGTTCATTAACAGACCAAAGAGGAGTAACAGGAGGTAAAAATAATAGACTATCATCAGAAGAATACAAGTTAGCTGAAGAGGTCATTAATAAACTACCGAAATATAAATCACATTACCGACGAGAAAATACCGACGCAGATTACCTGCAACCTGGAATGACGGTTCGTAAAATGTACGAAGATTACTATTTGAAGGAATTTGATGACTTGCCCGATAAAAATACTCGCCGATGCCTCAAGTATGGACTTTCAAAGAATTTTTCTACAAAAATTTTAATCTTAAGTGCAAGCCTCTTAAAAAAGACACTTGCAATAGATGTGACAACTATGCTATTCAACAAAAAAATGGAGTTGACGTACAAGAAGAACATCATGCACACCTTAAAAAAGCAGAGTCCTTAAGAAAACAAATGAAAGTCGATTTTGAACGAGCACAAAAAGAACCAAACGTAGAGTGCCTTACCTTCGATTTGGAAAAAACATTGCCCCTTCCCAGAATTCCTACAAATATTGTGTTCTACAAGCGACAACTTTGGGTATACAATAGTGGCATACACAGGGCATCAGACGACAAAGGCTTTTGCTATGTTTGGGTTGAGGGCGAAGCTGGACGAGGTGCGCAAGAAGTGGCTTCCTGCCTTCTCCGATTTATACAAAACGAACTCAGAGAAAACACAGAACACCTTATCCTCTGGAGCGATTCGTGTGGCGGCCAGAACCGGAATATAAAAATTACATTGATGCTTAAAACAGCATTACACTCACACACCACACTGAAAACCATCTCAATGCGATTCCTAGAACCTGGACACACATTTTTACCAAATGACACGGACTTTTCGAAGATTGAAACGAAAATCAAAGAATATGATAGAATATATACAGTGGAAGATTACATGAACATTATGAAACACGCAAAAATTCGAAATCCATTACACATCAAAAGAATGAATAATGAACAGTTTCTAGGGTGCAGCAATATTGAACAGGGAATTGTCAACCGAAAAGTTTTCAGAAATAAGAAAAAGGTAAACTGGCTTATGACTAAAGAAATACTGTTAAAAAAAGATTTCAGATATTCTATATTTATGCGGATAGATTTTGAAAGCGAATTTGACGAACTTTTTATCAAAAAGAGATTAGGAAGAGGTGGAGGAGAGGAAGTTGAAATAGTCATGAGCGAATTGGTTCAATTGTGGCCAGATGGCAAAGAGATTGCGCAAGCGAAACTCAACGATCTCCGGTCCATGGAGCATCTTATTCCCGCTGACTGTCGTGCTTTTTACGAGAATTTACGAGGCAACGATCAAATTCTAGATGATTTGGATGGGTACGGGACTATACCCGACTTTGAATTAGAAGAGACATAGTTTATTTAAGATTAAGTTCATTTCTTTTAGTAAATACTGTTTGTACTGTGTTACCTTAAGCAGTTTTTTAAAATAATATTGTACTTTTTGTATTGTTCAATAGAATATCATCTATACCTACTCTAGTCGAGGAGCCATGAACCACAAGAATGATCTTGTTGTTCATAATTTTGTATGAATATAATAACATAATAAATGACATTCTTTTTATTATTTTCCATAAATGGTTTATTTATTTAGTACTTAGGTGGATTGTAAACCCCAAAATATTGAAAAAAAAAATAGATACAAAAGAAAATGTTATTGGTACATTTTGGACTTATTTATTAATTGTCATTAGTATGAGAAATCCTATTATGTCAAAATATACCAAGTGAGAAAATACACTTTTCTTTTTTTTTTACTTTAAATTATTGATTGTTTGTATCTTAATCTAAAACAGAACTTCCATATCTTCATACTGATATATATTTTGGAGAGTTATTTAAATAAAAAACAATAGTTATCTCATGTCAAACTTAAAACTTAAATATCTCAGAATAAGGTTGATGTGGATTGGTATGATTTGGCACAACACGGTCCATGTATCATCGCGGTCGATGGCCGGAGGTCCATTTTGTCCTCTGTATGCTATGAGGTCATTTGAAATGCAAAGTTCATACTCGGTATGTTTTTGCACAATGATGTCATACCTCAATTTCCGCATGCAAAGGCTAAATCTATTCTTAGAAGGATCGAATTTTTAAGTTTGTACGAAATGACGCATAATTTTAATGTTTGCCAGAAATTGAAGGTGCGGCAATTCCTTCAAGTATTTTTATAATTATTTTTACAGTTGGTTGTGTATAAAAGGGATAACTAAAATTCTATAATCCTAGCTTCTTCCGGAAAATATCATTAACCGAATTCAAAAAAAGGTTGAAGTCTGTTTTCTAACGTAGTTTATAGAAGAATTATTTTCAAAATTACCTTGATAGTAGTTTCGAATTAGTACCTAACTTACTTTCATTTAATTGAGTACCTAATAACTGTTGATAGGCATAATCTAATGATTAAACAAAAGCAGTTTGGCGCCGGCGTTATGCTCACCTTTATCAATCATATGAAAGCGATAACACAAGTGGGTAGCTGTTAAAAAGTGAGCGCACTTATAAAAATACCTAATATTATGATTAATAATTCAAAATCAATACTGATATGTCACTTTCACTAATCTTCCACGCTAATCAGATTTCTCACTTATCTGAGAGTTTCTATTGCGTGTGTTGCTAATCTAATTTATAAGGCGCATTGATTTTATTGATAGCACCAATCGTATTGAAACATACGTGCCTCACGTTTGTATGAAACAATAGGTGTCCACACGAGAATAGAGCACGTCCTAGAAATATTATTCTGCTTAGTCCAATATGTTAATTCAAAGGCGATGATCTCTCTGCCATATGACCTTCCATTCATGTAAATCAGCGTCGCACTGTAGGCAAAGTTGCCAGAGAATTTAGATTAATTTTTATATTAAAAAAACGTTGACTTATTTAAATACTGGCATTAAACACAAGGTTGTATTTTGAAATATTGTAAGAAGTGTTCTTTTTTAGATTAATGGAGGTAGGTGCTTTTGATTTTATTGTTTCATTATCTTCATTGCTAGCGGTACATTCTGATTATCTTTTCAAAACCAATCAAACTTGACTGCACAGTTGGCGTAGTGGCTGAGCAACCGACTACCGCACAACGTGTAGAGGGTTTGATTCCCGCACGGTGCAACATTTTTTGTGATCTACAAATTGTGGTTTCGAGTGTGGGTGTCATTTGTATGTGAACTTGTATATTTGTAAACCTACCTACGACACAGAAGAATATTCTAGTGTGGGGCAAAGTTAATTTAAACAAAAAAATCTAGTGCCACATAGACAATCGCAACACCAGACGAGTTAGGCACAAGTGCATACAGCCAACACTTTTTTTTTCGCTTGTAAAATTGGGATCGATGTAAAGACGCACAGTATACATTAAAATTTTGCAGCAGTTTACGTAATTCGTTCGTGATAAATTATTTTTTTGTCATACTCGCTCATGTTCTCATTAAATCCGATAAAATAATGGAGGTTAAAGAATAAAATTGTTGTTTTGTTTTAAAAATAAAAAAGCACATCTTTTCTTAGAAACGTTTATTTTTATATCCTCGTTATCTGTCATGTGGTTATGTAGGTATCCTTATTATGAGCATATGTTAATTTTATTATTAGGTACCTACCTAGATATTAGGGATATTAAAAAAGTAGGTAAATGGTAATTTCCAGAGTAACATTGACTGAATAATATCATCTGGGCTTGGGCTACATGTTTAACAATTCGCCGAGTTTTTGATGATAAAGACTATCATCTTCACCTGTAGGTCTTTAACATATCTGACCTCTGCACAACCGAGCCACTATAAAATAATTCATAGAGGTCAGTCTCTATTAATGTCCTTCGCAATCCTTGTAAAATAATTTGTTTATTGGCAATAATACATTCGAGAGGATCTAAATTCTGGTAGACATTCTGGTATCGATTCTTTTGAAGAAGGTATATGGTAATACGCTTGTCTCTTGTTACTTGGGGACTTCTTAATATTGCTGTCCAAATGTGGGCATGGCAATGTGGACTTCACGCATGGCTTTAGGAGGACTTTCAGTAGGTAGTACCTACATAGGCAATTTTAGTCCTATTGGTACCTATCGTATTCTTTATAGAAATTGTAATAAGTATAGGTAATCAGAATTGAAACTTTAGCACTATACAAACGAAGGTAATTAGGTAGGTTTTGTATTTCATGGTATGTACCTGCCGTTTTAAACTTATATTTCAAATATTTCTAAACTATGCAATTTGTTTAGGTACCTACTACTTATGCAAACAATGCGCATTTTTGTTTACGTCGTTATCTACATATTACTAGGAAAAATAATTATAAGGAGAAATGGTAGCAATGTTTACATCCTATCGTAATTAGATACTAGCAAGGTGTTAATGAACCGAACAGCCATCGAATGCAATTTATTTATAAACAGCTTTAATGCAAACAAATATAATCGGCTATTAGCCTAGTGCATTCGCACCAAGATCAAAGACCTGAGTGTTCTTGGTCGTGTTTTACGTAGTCTGTTTGGAGTGTGGTGCACTTTATGGCAGGTTACATAAGGAGGTGATCGGCCGGCCTCGAGCAAGGCGTGCGAGCGCGCGCGCGTGCATTCACCGATCATTCACGTTCGAATTTGCTGCTACGCAACCATCGAGATGTCATCTATCGCAACCAAAACATCGAACACGATAAATTATTCACCTCATTAATTACCAAAACTTTCGAGTCGATGAGCTCTCGTAGTACTTGACCCCACCGGATAAACGGCTTACCTAATCAAACTAATGTGGGAAACATCCACACTGTCCACATAGTACCTACTGACCCGGCGTCATAGGTTTCTACACTTAGTTATGACGAACAGTTCAATGAACTCGCTAAATGCATTTCGAATGATTGGTAGGCAGTTAGGCACTCCACACACCAGCGACATCCGCAAAATACGAAGTAGACAAATATTCCGGCACCAGTTGTCGTGGTCGATCACGTAGTAGAGAGTTTTCGAAAACGGTCAATTTGTATTTTAACGTACATACTGGTGGTCTTCGAGTCGATTAGGTCAATGGTAAACATTGTCATCTGGTTTTCTGGTGTTATTTGTATTGTAATTTCTATAATTACAATAATTTACTTCTATATTTATAAACTTTTTACGAGTTAGGAAAGGAACACCACTTCAACACCTTTGAGCCTGAATGGAGTGACGGCTGACCAGAAAATCTTCGAGATAATATTTGTGTCCTACCAATAAGTGTGCACAAAGGAACTTGTACTTATTATGACCTTATTGTTGCGATTGATAGGACTTGATATCACCAGAGAGGGATTGCAGACAAAAAGAAAAATCGAAGGTTCTCCATAAACCAGATGGAAGATAGTAGGTAGGTAGAACCTACCTCAACATTAATTTAGTTATCAAAATTATTTCCCAATTGGAGCTGTATGAGTTGTTTCTTTTGGCATATAGGTACTAAACAGATCCAAAAAAACTGAAGGAAATCCTTGAATCCTCTACGGATAAGCGTAGCGGTCGTAGAACGGTCGTAGCGGACGTTGGCTTTGGGGCTAAGCTTAGCAGATTGATTAGTGATGATCATCATGCATGTGTTTTACAAAACAAGAGGGCTTTGACCGACGACAGAATTATATAAGAATCGTTTGCAAAAGATATATTGATTGAGTATAATTTAGTTAGAAAAGTCCGATACATCTTTTCACCGATAAGACTTTTCCAGAGATGTTGAGCGAAAATTCGCACTTAATATTTTAGTATTTGTGTTGTAAAACGATTCAAATCATATCTTTAAAATATATTACAAAGGCTTACAATTACTACAACATGAAGGTTTGTGTGGACTTTGCTACAAACACATTTATTTAATGTCTAGCAGATTCGGTTGAGTGCGCTGTATTTTTTGCTGAGCTAACCCTGAGTGCGGTTACCGAACTAACCTTCCCTACCCTTCTGAAATATACTGACTCATTGTTCTTAAAACGAACAGCTGAATTGTTAAAACAACAAAAACAGATATTTGTTTTTTAATTAACAATTAAATAGGTAAAGTACCTAATGCATTGTGTACCTATTGAAGATTAGCCTCGTTGTCGTTGGGGGCTCCATCTGTTACATTGTAAGTATTGTGTGTTGATGAACTCTAGCCCAATTCCAATGTACCATTGACGTCAACTAATTCTAATCACCCGTATACTCTGCGGCTTAACGGGTATCCTAGATGGAAAACTTCTCTGTAGAATTTACTACCGCATTTGTCATACATTCGACATACGCAAAGAAATTTCCGTCCCTGATCTAGGTTTAGGGAAAACCGCAAAATACTAACATATTTTTATTGTTTCTATCTTCCTGTTGTTT